TATATATTATTATGCAATGAAACTGATAAAGTTTTAACAATATTTATAACGAACCGTATTATTTACGTATTATCATTACTTATCATTATACCTTATATATTTTTGTTTATCCGTTACCTTTTCTTTTCAAAAGTAAATTAAAAAAAACAATGGATATTTAAAAATAAAATATTTTCAAAATCTCCGTGTATCAAGTTTTTTTACAATAGGTCAGTTGGAATGAGTTCGAATCATTCATTGTTGTAAACGATTTTACGATATTTAAATCAAAATAATTTATACGAGCACGCACACGAACGTGGTGACGTAGTGATAGAGAGAAAAAAAAAATTTAATGAAAACAAAACGGTCTATTTCTATTATCTTGAGATCTGATTATTTTAGAGATTTCCATTTACGAACATTTGTAATAAAAATCGTTTTTATCGTGTGTAATTAGGTTTACAATTGGTCGTCAACCGAAAGTGCAACAATACTCTCCTCTTTTTTTTGGGGCTATACGATCATGCAAATACCAAGTGGTTATATAGCGGCATTTTGGAGTGCTCAAAAATTATTGAGTTTCGGACTGCTACTTTGCGGAATCTTGAATATTTTGACACCAACTCTTGCCCATTACGGTGGTTATTTGGCTGTCTGTGCTTGTAGGGTAGGCATGGGACTTTCTCAGAGTTGCCTGTTACCGAGTATACACACCCTTCTTTCTAAGTGGGCACCACCGACTGAACGGGCACGACTCGGTGAGAATACTTAATAATATCCTTTTATTAATTTTATTTTCCATATTTTCAAACTTTTTATATTTCTTCAATCCAATTAACTATTTATTAATTATTTATTAACCATCGTTGCATTAATTTGAGTGTTCAATTTGAATGTAATTTATATCACGTAACGTATATGTATGTTAATTTTTCATTTCGCGTCAATTTTTTGCTTTGCTTCTCCAGCAAGTTTTAATATTTAATATTTATCGATATATATGATATTTATTCGATATATCGTTCAACGGGAAGAAACGGTAGCGAATATCGATCGATCGATTCGTTCGAGATGCATTCGTGTTTGTGCAGCAAGTGTAAATCGGAACGATTTGCATGTATTTACCAAAAGACATGCAAAATTCATTTATCGCGTGTATAATGAGACAACACGAGGTACTTAAATGTAGATTCGTTCATAGTCATCGTACAAGTATGATTTTAACGTGATATAGTATACATTTTTTTCGACCTTGAATTTTATTCCACTAATCGATCGTATCGCTTAAGTTTACAACATAACTTTACTTGGTTTACGACCTTCCTATTCTTCCCCACTATTCCTTTCGTAATTATGTCATACTCGTACTTCGAATTAAGCGAGGAAGAAGCTACAAAGAATTATCCCTGAATATCGAATACGCGTACCCTTGGATGAACGGCGATTCCATAACCTCTATTTCGACACGTGTGGTAAATCTATAATTTACCGTACATGTTGAGAATTTGAATTTTGAATATTAACCTTCTTTGTATTTATATAAGATACAGGATATATACGCATACGTGTACATATATTCTGATGATATGATCGGATAGTGAATGATACCGTGTGAAAAAAATTAATGAAAAATATGGAATGCAATTTTTTCATTCGAGGTTTATTCATTTTCGAACAAAAAAAAAAAAGACAATGGAACTTGAGAATCCATCGCTTATGCATATTCCTTTCGAAATTTTCCCGGAAACAAATGTTTAAGCGATAAAATTTTATTCCATATTTTTTTTCCTTATTTTTCGCACATAGAGTAATCATCTATTAATAGTTTATTCGTATTCGTATTTCTAATCGAAAAATAGTTAATTTTAAGTTATATTCGAAAGTTTTTACATCACATTTTGAAATATTTCTCATAAAATGCACGAATTTTTAAATTTTTAAGACAACATCGATATTGAATAAATATTATTTTCATACTATGTATAGAAAATAATATGAATGAATTTATCGAATATTTGTATATTGAAATATTGGTTTAAGAATAAGATATACGTAGAATATATGTTATTTTGACGAATAATCAATTTTGTTATTAGAATTTATTCACGTTGCATAAAATTTCGCTAAAACATTCGCCGATTGTACACAATTGAATCATAATCCATAATCATAATTATCATAATTATCAATTATCATAATTATCATATTTATTTATTATCTATTTATCTATTTATTTATTATTTATTATCATATTACAATTATCATAATTATACATATCGCTTAATATTTTTTTTTAATTTTAGGAACACTTGCTTATGCCGGTGCACAATTCGGTACCGTGATTTGTTTTCCAATTTCTGGATTGTTAGCATCATCGAGTGCCGGCTGGCCATCTATTTTTTACGTATTTGGCGCTTTGGCCGTGATTTGGGGCATTATATTCTTCGTATTTGGTTCGGACAGTCCTTCTAAGCATTCGCGAATATCGGAGAGAGAAAGGCGATATATCGAAAACAGTTTAAAAAGTAGCGAGGAAAAAGAAAAACCGAGCAACGAAACGGTAAGAATTTATTTCTTTTATCTCTCGTTTCAATGATCGAAAAAAAGAAAGAAATCGTCTATAAAATATAATATAACAATGTATGTATCTATACTTTATATAATTATTTATCGTTTTATGTTTTGATTATGATTTATTATTAAAGGCAATGAAAACACCGTGGAAAGCTATTTTCACATCGGTGCCGATGTGGGCTCTAATAATTGTGCATTGCGGACAAAATTGGGGTTATTGGACCCTTATCACGGAATTACCAACTTATATGAATGACGTTTTGGAATATAATTTGGTAGATGTAAGCAAAAATTTATTTTATCTTTGATTAATTTAATTTTATTAAATTTAAACATTCGACCATCGAAAAGATTATATTCTTATGATAAGAAAATTATTTCAGTGCTTTTTTATCAAATTGTTTTTAGTAATAGAATATAACGAATATTATCGAAAAAACGAGATGAAGAAAAGTGAATGTATAGCTTATTCGTCGTATTCGTTACTTATCTTATCCATGTATCACATTTTATATATTTTATATCAATTGAAACAATAGAAAGATTATATCAATTAGAAAAATAGAAGAATGGAAAGAAATTTACTTTGAAACAAAGATATACGAACTTATTTTTATAAAATTGAACAATTTAAAATTTTAAAAAAAAATGATTGTTATGATTAAACTTGACACCATTTTTTTTTTAATTTTTTTCTTTCGCGTAATTTGATAATTATTGATATAAAAATATACGGTTTTTATAGTCGAAAAACATTATCTTATACTTAATATCTATATATATAAGAATTAATTGTATTTATAATGTTACTCGTATAATGTTACTCGTAATTGATCTGATGAGCAAGCTTTGTACATCGAACAAGTTACCTACATCGGGTAATGTAGCATCAAATTTCAAAATTGGAAATCGATTGATGGAATAAAGATGGTATAGATAATGTAATATCAGGGAAAAGAAAAAAGAAAATTGAAAATCAGATTTTTTATATATTTATATATTTTCTATATACATACATATATATATATTCATATATCTTTTTATCTTTCTTTTTTTTTCAGAATGGTATGATATCGGCGCTTCCCTATTTAGTGATGTGGATCTTAAGTTTTCCGGTATGCTGGCTGGCCGATTATGCTTTAAAGAAGGGTATCTCGGCAGGAATAATTAGAAAAGTTTGCAACACAATCGCACACTGGGGACCAGCGATAGCGTTGATTTGTCTTGCAGCGATGTCGGTGCAGGATCACAAAGTGGCTGTAATTATTCTTGTGATAGCTGTAGGGTTAAACGCTGGTTCTCTATGCGGATTTCAAATTAATCACATCGATCTAAGTCCGAATTTCGCCGGTAGAATGATGTCTATCACCAATTGTATCGCATCCATCGTCGCGATAATTGCACCAATGGTTTGCGGCCTCATCGTAACGCAAAAGGTATATTATTAATCGAGTTGATTTTCTTTAAGTTAAGTTATTAACAAATTAGATAATTATATTAATATAACGGTAATATATTTTTACAGAAAAACGTTACCCAATGGAACATAGTGTTTTATTTGTCCGCCGCAATTTATATTTTAGGAAATTTAATTTTTATCATATTTGGCAGCACTGAGATTCAACCATGGAACAATCCAAAAACTGCGAATCCTCAAAAACAAAGTGACAAAGAATTAACGGTTGTATGAACATTTAAAGATATATATGTGAGTATATGTACAAATTAACGAATTAATCGAATACCAACGATAAGTACAATATGATAATAAATTTCCGTACTTAAAAGTTAACTAGTCGCATTGCTCAAAAATGTTAAATTTAATAATATATATAAATTTAGTAATATATATATATATATATAATAGCTATCGCATAAGTTAGAAATTGAAGTAAAAAAAAAATAGAGAAACTATTTTATTTAATCTAAATCAGAAGAAATTGGAAATTTTCACAATTATTTGTGAAATGATGATATTTTACGAGAAATTTATGACCAATTTTAATTTAATTTATATTTATACGAAACGAAAGTAAAAAATTATATTATATGAATATTTACACGATGCAACATTTATAAAAATATTTTTTTATCGCGTTTCGATGTAAATATATTAATAAAGTACCATTTTCTTCTATTCAGTTAGATACAGATAGTTATATTACTAGTATATACATACTATATACTTATTCCTATATGTAAAAATTTATATTAATTTATAATAATAATTATGTAATATATATGTATATACATTATATCGCAATGAACATTAAATGATACGATAAATCATACTATATTGATGCTATATTGATGCAATTTTTTTTAACGTTAATTTACATATTCGAACTGCAAAGATTGTTTTCATTTTTGATTTTAATTATTAATTAAATACATTCGTAATATATTTATAATATTGAATAATTCGAAGCAATATTTAACATAGATTGTTAAAAAAAATTTGAACAACAAGAATTCTTTTTATCTCTTATTGTTTATAATATATAATAAATATATTACAATTGATAAAATAAAAAGTTTATTTATAAAATTTATAAATAAACTTTTACTCAACGTATCGTAATATTGTTCATTGTAAATTATGACTTGTGCGTAAAATGACTATTTTCTTATGTTTCCTGTTTGATGCGTGAGGAATAAATATAAGGATAGAAGAAAAAAACAAGAACGTATCATAAATAGATATGATTGTAATATACGATTATAATATATCGATATGGTACTCGTTGCACTCATAGGTATTAGAATAATATTTTGACTTTATTTTGTCGTTGATTATTCAACTGTCGATGTATGAAATAATGTTTCGATTCGAAAGTTTTTTGATGTAAAAGGGATGATGAATATTACAATAACTAATTTTTCGTTGCTTCCCGAGATTTTTAACGAGATGCAACTCTTCAAGTTTTTTCGTTACAACACGTGACATTTGATCATATTTGACATACGATACGAATTCTTATAATCAAAAATTATTACATCACGGGATTCGAAAAATCGATAATAATTATTGAGATACGATCGATTTTTATCGATTTTATCGTAATTATCAATATTGTTCAAAATATCGTTTGCTTCAATCGATACGTGAACGCAATGCGATCGACAATATAATAACACGTTACAATTTAATATTCCAGCGATGTTTTTACGATTTTTCGTGTCTTCTTGGCGTATAAATAAATACGTATATCCATAAATATATATATATANTGTGTACTATATAACGATTAGATTCGTTCAATTATCATTCAATATCATTTAATATAGGTACTGTGTACCCATCTCGTTCGATCCATCGTTCGATCAGATGATGGATTACGCATGTTATTGTATCCACAATTTTATTCTATATACGTATACGTGTATGTACAGAGTAATGTGTATGATATTTACAATTTGATACATGTGCGAGAATTTCTGGAATTTTGTACACTTGATATTAATACGTTCGAATCGATGTACATATATCTTTTAAAAAAAATAAAGATGCATATATTTTATATACATATAAATAGATATATTCGCGATGCAAAATTTTTCGTTTTAACATCGTTCGATTTTTGTTCTATTATATCTTCATTCCGATGAATAAATACATTGTTTCCATTTATTGTATTTATATCGTGAAAGAACGGTTATATTCGATGGTTCATTGCACTTGTTATGCGATAACAATTAATGCGATAAACAATTATTGGTAAGATAATAATTATAGGAATGAAATGGAATAAAACTTGTAACGAGTCAACAAGGGTAGGGTAGGAGGTTTAGTCCGGTTTGTGAAACGTAACGAAACGGTTTGAGAAAAATCGATCCTCTCGTGATTCGAATTATATGTAGATATTATCGAAACGTGTTCGATTCGCACGTGGATAATTAAAATTGATTCGAAATATCGATAATATTGTTTCGCGCGTCGAAAAGTAAAAAGTAAAAAGCGAAAAGTGCTTAGTCAAACGTAGTGCGTAATCAAGAATATTGACTCTCGTATCGTAACATTCGCTTTGTCAATACCGTTCTATCATTCTATCAATCCATGAAATCTCTCCATAAATTGTTCTTCCTTGAAACATTCATTCCTTTTTTTTGTTAGATATTTTCTAATTATTATGATAATATAAATAATGTTTTGAAATATCTATTATATACATATATATATATTGCATACATACACACATATATATATAATATATATATATATATATAATATATAAAATTTTTCAATTAGATAAGGGAGAAACGTGATAATATACTATTGTCTGTGTATACGCATGCAGAACGTGCAAGTTGAAAAATAAGAGTGGGAGAAACTCTTTTCGGTGATGGACTATAAAACCACGATCGATCGATCGAGGGATCGTAGTGTCTTTTTTGCGATTTACTTTGTTACTTTGTGTCGACCCTACCTTACAACTTGTGTACACGTTCGGATATCGATTGGTTAATAAACATGACTTCCCGTATGACGAAAAGGGTGTCCATCGTTTCCATCTCGGAACGGATACAGACACCGGTGTCTAAACCTAAAGGTACCTTTTTTTTATTCTCTTTATTTATCCGCTCGTTTCATTTATAAATATCACGTGATACGTGATCGAGTTATCGAGTCGAATAAAGGAACACGATCGTACGTACGTAATTTTCGGATACAATTTCGGAAACAACACGTTGGAAACATCGTTACGTAGATAGAGATACAAGTACAAGTAGATATTTTCGATAATAAGATCGATCGTTTGAAGAGATAAAACCGGACGAAAATCAAATTGCGATAAATCGCGATTATCGATCGAATATAAATTTGATTTGTCGCGGCTTGTGCAAAGATCGGTGACGTTTGCCCTCGTTTATAAAATCGCGTTTCTCACGTGTTTTCTCCCGCTCCTTCGCGCAATTATTTCATCCACATTCATCAACGGATTTTCCTCGCATCCCTTTCGTACGATTTCGTCTTTCAAGATCAAACGTTCGTTTATCGTAATTTCTTAAATATATTTTGTCTCTTTTTATCGATTAACCGGATGGAAATTATTTATTCGGATTCGCCTCGTCTCGTGGATATTCGCTTCGATAGATGGAATAATTTTCGTGCACGAAATACACAAAATATTTTCGCACACATAAAAGTAAGAAGAGAGTCGTTTCATTCAAGAAATCGATATCGTTTCGCGATCATTTATAAATTCTGGCCGAGGATATTAAATGTTGGTTTAATTACGAGGACGTTTAAGAACACAGTGTGTTTTGTGCAACGTGCGTGGCATAAATACGTGACGAATCGTTACGAATTCCAAGACATGACGGCAACATGCTCGTCAATGTCAGATTTCTCGCGATGTCCTAGAAATGTGGAATGAACGAATACTCGTCCGCATTCTCTCCGCATTGTTCGAGATCCCAGCGTTGCGCGAGAAATATAAAATGCAACGCCGTCTCGCTTCGAGTGTTTAGCTTTCGAAGCTTGTAAATCGTATCATCATTTTTAAAACGGTTGCGATTCGATTGCACGATAACATTATCGAATAAGCTACCGACTGTACACCGACAGATATAAATCACGATTTAAAACATGCAACATGTATCATTTAGATACGATATTAAATTATCTATTGATTAATACAAATAATTTTGAAACAGAAGTATGTATAAGATGTATCTATAATTCGAACGAAGCTTTCTCTATTTCTATCTCGAAATCTCTGAATTCGTAAATAAAATTCAATTTCGATCAATCAAAAGTTTAATAAAAAACTGTTGTTAAAAGACAGATAATATCTTTTTCTCAGATAAATATGTGTAACTCGTTCTGTTTTTTATTTCGATTTCTTACGAGAGAACAAAATAAATAGGAAAAAAAAAAAAAAAAAAAAATAGAAAAGAATTTAAAAAAGAATCATGTTACGACATCGAAATGTTGTGAATAAGTGTAATCGCGCGTGCGATGATAGACCGCGTGAAAAGCACGTGCAAGCGAATATCTTTAAAACTTTCAACATTTTATCCTTCGAGACTACAACTTTCTAAATTTTTATAAAGTTGTTTCAAAGACATTTATCGTGATTTATATAATAATTATCTTTATTTGATATGTTCTTATATAGAACAATATTATTTTTTTTTTTTTTTATAAAGAAACTTTGTATCATATATATATATACACACACATAGATATCGCGTATTTAATGCTCATGCATAATTCACACTATTCGCACGATTAATCACTAACTATTATTAACAAAGCATTAATGAGAGAAAAAAAATTTATTTCTTCGATTTTTCGTATTATTGTTTGAGTCTAAGAATAATAAATAACAAATTAAATTGGAATTATATAAATACCACGATACAAATATAAATTATATAAATATCATATATAATCATATATAATTAATTATATATAATTATATTATATCATTATATAATATTATATAAATATCACGAATTTTTAGAATTTTTTCGTAATAAGAGGAATTCCATGAATGATCTGCAGAATTTTTTATCGTTTTCCATGTTTCCTAAGTTTTTATTATTCGAGTAACGATGCGTTCAATTCTCTTGTTGACGTGTGTCTAAAATAAAAATCGATCTTGTCATATATCTGCTTTAAGATTAGAATCAATTTCTTGGAATGATTTTTTTTTCCCGATTTATTTGTATGTTATTTCAGACATTAGAATAATCTATAGTGATAATCTTCTTATTCGTATTATTTCGATATTTATTATAAAATTTAAATAAAACATTTATTCGTATTTTCATCGCATAAATTTTTTTTTAAACAAAAGATATATTCGAATATTTTAGTACAAGTGTACAAAAATAGATGTACATAGATTATTTTAAAAGTTAAACTTGTGATAAAACTTGTGTTTAAAGTAATTTAATCGATGTCGATTACGAAGGCAACGGTGGAAAAGGTGAAAAAGTCGAGAAGAAAATTTCGATAGATATTAAGTTTTTTTTCAATTTTAGGAAACTTCTAACTCACAAATCTTATGTATGTAATCTTGTTTGTCGTTAATCTTAATCATCCTCGGTTCAACGAGAATATACGATGATTAATCATGGCAATATGTACGTTGTGCCATTTGCTTTTTGATAAAACATTATAAATATCACAATATTTTACTTTTACATATATATTTAACGTCTAAAGGAATAAACGATTTTCTTTAATTAATTTTATAATAATCTGTTTTAATAAATGTTTTAATTTATAATTTACAGCATCGTATGGATGTAGACACACGCAGGGCATTTTGATGGCTTTGGGTTTCTTCTGTTGCTATGCCATTAGGGTGACTACATCGGTGACGCTAGAAGCTATGACCAATGCTTCCACTGCAAATCCTGCTTTTCCAGTATGATTATTTTCTCATTTTTGAGTCTGCTTACCATTCGTATTCGTTGTCCATTCGTTAATTATTCCAGAATAGTTGTATAATATATATCACGTGCGATTTTACTTCACGTATGGATTATTTAACAATCTTTATCGATATATATCTATTTAAATGCATCATTTTTTATCGTATCTTAAATAAACGAAAGATCTTAAAATGCATCATCGATCGATAAGACTATTTTTATAATATTTATCTCTTCTTACTTCTAATGTAAAATATGTTCGCAAATGCACACGAATTGCGATTGACGCGATCCTCATTTTCGTATTCGATAACTTTCTTCTTAAAAACGATGCTCACGGTATCGAAAAGTGATCTTTTTTTCACTGTACGTATCTATCACGTATCCGTACTACTAGAAGATGTACGTACATATTTTAATCACGATCTACTGTCCAATGTAAAAAAACTAGTTTGTAGATGAAACTAAATTTGTAATAACTCAACACTTATTATTTTTTATCTCGATCACTCTATCAATTATGAATAGATTTGAGCATGAAATAAATTGTCGAAATAAACGATTGCCATTGATGAAAAGTAAATTTTTATCTTTCATTTTTGAAACTTATTTTTCCCAACTTTGGATTATTTCTTTATGTTTCAAGCAATTTTCATGGGACGAAAAGGTCAAGGATGTAATTCAGAGTTCCTTTTTCTGGGGATACGTGTGCACGCAAATCATTGGCAGCATGGTGGCGCAACGTTGGGGAGCTCATAAACTTTTCTCACTAGCACAATTCGCGTGCGGTTTCGTAACGCTTTTAATTCCCGTGCTTGCCGAAAACGCGGGATGGGAAGCGTTTTGCGTTACTAGAGTGATCGCCGGTGTATTTCAAGGCACCGTTCTTCCGTGTCTTCACGCGTTGCTCTCAAAATGGGCACCCATGGAAGAAAGAGGAAGAATATGTGAGTATCGAGTATAGAATATATATGGTAGTATTTTGATTATTATTGTTAATCTTCCAATTCGAAAATAAGTAAAATATTTACAATTTTTATCATTTTCGATACAATTATGGATTTTATTTTGGATAGAATGGAAGAGAATGAAAAAATAAAATAATAATTTTTATTTGGTTAAATTTTATTGTATATTTTATTACAGCGACATTCGTGTATGCCGGAGGTTGGATCGGAAATGTAACTTGTTTACTGAGTACGGGTCTATTGGCTGCTTCACCTTGGGGATGGCCCAGTTGTTTTTACGTTTGGGGCAGTATAACTATCGTTTCCAGTCTTTTGTTCTTTTTCATTGGTTACGAGTCACCGGCCGAACATCCAAATATACCTCAAGATGAAAAACAATATATCGAGAGTAGTCTTGGAATGATAGAAACGGAAGAAGTAAGAATATTTGATATATTCGAAATATATATCATCGCATATACATTTAATGATATATATATTTTTCCAGAAATTATCGACTCCTTGGATCAAAATACTTAAGAGTCGTCCAATGTGGGCATTAATGGCTACTCAATCTGCTCACACTTGGGGTTTCTGGATGCTTTTAACGAAAATCCCATCGTATTTTCAAGCGGTATTTAAGGTTAACATTAAAGAAGTAAGTAAAAGATAAATTGTTCGATATATAATTTTTAATTTGAATTTATTGATTATGGTTCCTATACATAATTAAATTATACATCTTTTTTTATTGATAATAATTAAGGAACACGAGTAAAAATTTATATTATAAATCTTCGAATTAATTCGTATACTTTTTATCGTGTTTCAGAATGGTCTTATGAGCGCACTACCATACTTCACAGCCTGGCTATTTAGTTTTCCCGTTAGCTTTATTTCGGATCTACTTATCAAACGAAATATCCTCACTGTTCAAGCATCGAGAAAGATTTGCAATACGTTCGGTGAATGGGTACCAGCGCTCGCATTAATAGGTCTTGGATATGTTGACAAAGAGCACTCTGAAATAGCAGTAGCAATTTTGGTAATTGCTGTTACTAGCAATGTTGCTATTTATTGTGGACATAACGTCAATCATATGGATCTTAGTCCAAATTTTGCCGGACCATTGATGGGTATCATAAATACCGTAGCGAATATTTTTAGTATTTTGGCTCCATTAATCGTCGGTGTTATCGTTCATGATAAAGTATGTATAATATATTATTTATGTATTTATTATTCTAAAAAAATTTATGTACTTATTATTCGTATATCTAAATTATATGAAAATTTAATAAAACGATGTTTGTTTATGTTTTCAATACTGATTTCTCGAATAATACATATATTGTTTATACAACAAATGAAAAAAGAAATATGTTACGCGAATTATATCTCGATATTGACAAGTAATATAATACGTTAGAATTGAATAATATAATTCGAAATAAATGTGAAAATATAAAATGTATTAATTTTTATTATTTTTAAATTTTCAGACTAATGTTGAAGAATGGAGAAATGTATTCTTTTTAACGAGTGTAATATATTTCGTTGGAAATTTAATTTTTATCATGTTTGGTACATGTAAAATTCAAGCATGGAATGATCCTGTAGAAAAACAGAAAGATATCGCTATGAATTCTACGAACGAATCATCGGTGGAGAATGGAAATGTACAAAAAACTAAAGAATATTGAAAAGATGGCTTTTTATAGAAAAAGAATCGTGATGGTGTTACCATGATGCCAGACAGTATAAATATTTATCATAACTACTAATAAAATGTATTATAAATGCTGTGATCGAACAATTCAATATCATCATTTTCATTATTTTATTTGTGAATACATATGAAAAATGTATCATTATTTTATTTGTAAATGCATATGATTTTTAAATGTGCATTGTATATAAATATTTATGTTATATATAAATATTATATTTAATATTTATTAAATTAAAGAACAATACGTATGAACGTATTTATACAAGTTTAGAAAAATTTGTTACTATAAAAGTACAAATGATCATAATACATCAACATATTTAATTAAGATATGTTACTCTCTCTTAAGATGTTGTCTAGGCATAGATTTCCAAATTGTATGTATAAGAAATATTGTACATAATATTGTTAATAACAATGTTGTATAAGTTACCAGAGGTAACATAGTTGTTTCACCAATTGGAATTGTCCATTCATTTTTCATATCCTGTAAAAAAGATTAAAAATTCCAACAAATTTCTATTTATAAAGTTATATAAATAAGATATATTTTTGATATTCTTACATACTTTATTATTTAACATCACGTATGGAATCTCTCTCCATTTAGGTACGATATCTACGCATGGAGAACACAAATCAATTTTAGAAATTCTGTATTCTTTGAGTCTTTTTCTACAGCCCAATAACAACTTTGGATCTGGTAAGCTAATATTTATGTATTTATCATTTACACTAGCATATCGATAACGTTGATGTACTGGGAGTTTTAAGATACTTTCTATATTAGTTAAACGTGAACAAATACTTATATTTTGTATTTGTGCTTTTTCAGTGAATAATTCGACATTGGTTTCTCCGCTAGAACATGCTGTGCTCTGAAATGGTTGAATATAAGAAATATAAAAAATATTTTATGCTTATTAAAAAAGATAGTAATATAAGATATAAAACTTGGATTGAATCAAAATAATTTCATATATATATTATAATGATGTTTTAAATTATTCTACTTACAATTCCAAGTCTTCTTAAATGATTTAATTCATTAACATCAACATATAAAGCAGATGGAAGTTGCAAATAAAGGACAATGTAACAATCCTCTATGAATTGATCGATATATATTTGATATATTAAATTTCTGTAAATGAAATTTATTGTTAAAAATAAAATATTTAATTAATTTTTATAAATTATCAGTATTTAAATCTATATCTTCTAAACATATACTTTCTGTTAATATGTAAATTTTATGTATCAAATATACTTTTATTTATGATAAAATATATTTATATAAATGTAATTAACAATTAAAATTCTTAAATTTCTTCGTTTAAATATGATATGAAAATTATAAATTTAATAATACATTATTAATTATATACAGAATATTATATATATAAATAATATATACAGAAATTAATTATATTCTTAAATTCTCACATTAATGATCGTTATAAATTATTTATTAATTTGAATAACAGAGATTCTTACTATATATGTATATATATGTATTTTGATATACATAACCTATGAAATCCTGTTCCTTCTACATTTAATGAAATACGAGCTTCTAATTCGTCGCAATTTACCAATAAAATTAGTGTGTAAAATAAAATAATTTGTATAAAATATTGTTTGGCACAATTTAATGTCATTTTTTAAATATAATATGTAATTGATGCATTTCAAGATAATATATTTTACTTTTATAAAAAATTGATAGATGTCACTGATATATAACTTTTTGAACATTACGTGAACATTTTTATATTCATTTTTAAGATTTATATAATTAGTAAATTAATATTAAATTTTAGAAATCATAATTTTAATATGCGTATATAATATTCAAATACAACTTATTCGTGTATATGTACATATGTACTTATGCATCTAGCAAATATTTATATATTACTTTAATATTAAAAAAGAATATATTACATTATGTTTTCAATTTTAATTTTAATTATCGACTGATGCATAGCTTGAAATTTATTTTATAATTTATTAAATGTTAAGAATTTTATTTTGAAAATGCCAAATCAAAAAAAAAATCCTTCCTTAATTTACTAATTTATTTTATAATTTTAAATTTTGATAGAATGATCTTTAAAAATAATGAAACTAATATATATATTTATATGTACGTTTGTGTATTTTTTTTTTATGTTTTGAATATATTGTAGATTACGTTGAATATATTGTAGATTAATTTTTTTTTAATTTTTTTATTTTAAACGTTCAATTTTACATTTTAATTTTTTATATTGGATAATTTTTAAATTAAATTAATTATAATAATTTATTCTTATTACATTTTTAATCAGTATAAACTTTAAAGTATAGAAATTTATGATTAAAATATAAATATTGTATTTTAATTTTTGCATGAAATAAATAATAGTAATGCTTCAGCCAATCAAAAAATCGCTAAGACTTAGCGACAAAACGAATGCGCATCATAATGCGCATGGTGTTAATCCATTGTTGAAAATCGTAATAAATTACGTTTTACCGGCAAAAGTGATTACATAAAATTTGTATCGATTTGATATTTTATTACCGGTTATTGAACTTAATTATAGATTATTAAGTCTTGTTTAATCAATACAAGTTTATTTATTCATTATTGTTTCAGAATTTAAAACATCTTGTACAGATTGTAAAAGTTTGATAATTCGAAAGCGGGATAATTTTGAAAATGTAATAATTCTTATATATTATAACAATTAAGAGATAATTCGACAATTTTCATGCAGATATGGCAAGTTTTTTTATTTTTTTTAACAAAAATAAAAATATAATTACTATAAATTTCCTTTATTTTTCTTTTTACATAATACAATCAATTCACACATATTTCACATATATTCTTATATATATATATATATAATATATACATATTATATGTATGTATATATACATATTTCTTTTCTAAATGCGTTATCCGTACGTTCAACTCGTGTATTGTTACTTTTGTATTTGTTTTGATTTTACATATGAAGCCCCAAAGCATGAAAACATTTCTTATACAGCCTTTCCGGGAAATTGATGATTCGCGTCGTGTCACGTTCGACGTCGAGTATATATCTCCCCTCTCCTTCCAATTTGGAATTCGACATCGAAATAGCTCGCGTGTCATTTTGTTGTCGAAACCAGACGGTTGAACACTTACTTCAGGTGTAAGAACTATCTATTTCGTAATATTTATTTAACAATTATTGTTTTATTTTTTATATAATATTTCATTAATATACGTTTGTTTAATTATTTGTTGAATATTATTAGATATAATTAATAATTCTTTCAGGAATAATTATTCTCTTATCTATTCGTCTAATTGATCATTAGAATTACCATTAGTTCGTATTATGAATTTTTAAAATAGGTTAGGTTATTGTATTATTATTTTAATGCGATCATTTTAGTGTTTGTTGCCAGGATCTTACATACTCAGGTATTATTTGGGTAAGAGAAAGATGAATATGATGATCCATAATTGATATATTTATTAAAATTTTTCAGCGATGGATAACAATAAATTATGTGAATTTTTCACATTTTGTGCGTGTTAGACCGTGGAATTACGTTTTAATCCATCGACAAGAATTAATTCCATTACAATTTGTGACAATGATATTACATTCCTTACATATTATGGATTAAAGATAATAAAATTAATAATTATTAATCCTGTTCTTAAATTATAATAACGGTATTTTTTTGATTATATGAACATTTATGTAATTTTATTGCTTTTTACGCAATAATCTCCAACCATCGTCAGTCGATTAAAAGAATGGAGAAACGTAAAGTTGAAGCATGAGAATAGTATAGATTTTATGTGTGAGAATCATAGAGTGGATGTATCGATATTCTCGTTTTAGTATTTTTTAAAATAGATAGCTAGATAAAATAAGCTTTGTGCAAATATCGATTGTAAATAGGTAGGAATTGTTATAGTCTTTGATAGGCACTTTTTCGTGTAGCGATTTGTTTTAAGAAGTCAGATTTGAAAATTTCTTTCATAGCTGTTGGCGAACGCAACGGTTTTAAAATTACGATTGTATTGTATTAAATGGAGTTTTAGTAATAGAGATTAGCGATGTCGTCCTTGAAGGGTTAATTTTGCTTACATATTTCGATCACAGAATGCTAGATGGCGTAACAAACACTCTGTTCTTTCCTCAGTTAATAATTTCAGAAAACACGTGACACAAAATTCCATAAAATATCACGCGTATTCCGTAATAAAAAAAGAATTAATTTATAAATAAAGTAACGAACAAATAATTTATAAAATATGTACATTTTATACATTTGACTCGATTTTTTTTCTTTCTTTTCCTATATGAATGATGAATTCTTTTTTTTTTTCATAATTTTTATAATTTTTTTTAATAAGAAGACGTAATTTCGAATAAACGAATCGATATTATACATACTAAAAACATATATTTCCATCTTAACATATAAATAATAGCATAGAAAAATAAAAAGAAAAAAATAATAATTAAAAGGTAAAGCAAAGCGAATACAAGAAGCGGAAAGAAACGATAAAAGATATCTTGTTATATTATAAATTATAAATCCGTTTATGATGAGATTTACGTACATAACATTTGGATAGAGTAGGTTTAAGCAGAATGTACATATCCGCTACACGTATATTGTCGCTAAGAAACGAAAATAGCTACTGTCAGCCCTAGAACGTTACGGAAAGAGATGGTTAAGCAAGAATCGAAGTACAAGATGACGAAGGTGGGACAAGAAATGCCAAAACGAAACGAACGAAGATGGTGGTGTGCCGGAACCTGGAAACAAATTGGTCATTTGCAAACCAGTTTATTACGTAATAATTTTTTTCTTCCGATGTACTTGCGCACTTATCAAATTGTAATCGATGCTAAAGATTCGTGGAAAGAGACAGAGAGAGAGAGAGAGTTTATATAGAGTAAGTCCCTCAGTTCGGAATAATTAATTCGATTCGAAGCAAATTGATTGCCGTTTCCTTTCTTCGCGTGTGTTACGCGTGTCCGCATATTTGGCGCTCCAACTTACGTATTCTTGCATATTTGGCGCCTAACCTATCGTTCTATCACATATTTGGCATCTGACATCGGCCATTGTCACATATTTGGCGCCATAATCCGCGATATCGCCGCATTATTTCTATCGTTCGGTGTAACGCTCGAATAAGAATGTAAAATTTTTGCACAGATACGTATACTTATAAATCTTACGCGTTTTACGATTCACGATTCTTCGAAATGTTTGTTATATTCTTCGAAATCGTTCTTCTTCGTTAACGTGTTCTATTATATGAATAAAAAGATAATGCAAGTATTATTCGAAATATACTTTGCTTTTTCAAAAGCAAGATATATATTTTATAATTGCAAAAGAAAGAAAATTTTATTATTTTTTTACTATTTTCCCTCGATCCGAACTATTTTATATATTTATCCAAAGGAATATATTTTAATAATGTTAATAATTTAATTAATAAATAATAGAAGAAATATAATTTAACATTATGTAAATTTAATATCACGATTTAAAAAGAACGAGAATGGCGAATAAAAAAAATAAATATCATTCCGAAATATCTTAAAATATATTTTAGCGATCAAAGCTGCTTCGCGGACATCTGGAACGATGACGATATTATGGTCAATTTCCTGTATTCGATATATATATAATAATAGTACCAATAAATAAAAGGAACGTATTTCAATTTATTTATTTATTTTTTTTTTTTTTTTTTGGTCAACACGAAGCGAATACTGACGCGAATGAAATATATATATCTATCTTTAGAACTAAGTTATTTTATTGTAAGCGATAAATATCGTTTATTAAACTGTTTTCGCGATGAATTTTATCTCGGTGAAAAGAATCGGGTGCCGTATTAAAAAAAAAAAGAAAAAGAAACAGAAAAAGAAAAATAGAACGGTCGACAAAGATGAAGAAAGATGTGCCGTATTATTTTCTTCCGAGTGGGGTGGATGTTCTTTTATTTATAAAAAATTATTTCGAAATAGCGCATTGAATAGAGCATTGGCTGTAAGGCCTATCGGAACAAGTGGGTCGGCACTGGTTGGCGTTCATCCTTTTCGTACCAGACGTAATGCAACACCGGTGTTCCTCTTGTCTCGCAGCCAAATTGTTTCCCGTTTATCGCGCGAACAACTTCCATTCTACGATTATGAACCTGCATTCTTTCGCTATTTCGCCTCTCGGCCTGACCTTGCGTCAAATTTCTTGCGACGAAGTCGTTTCTTTTCTTTTTTTTATTCTTTTTTTTTTTTTTTTTAGGTTTACCAATTCTTACAATTATATAGTAACTTAAGTAAGGGAAGAGTTGGAAAAAAAAAATATCCGTAATAAAAAAGATCGTACAACGAGGTTAATGCATTTTCTTTCGATCGTACGAGATGCTTCGTTTCTTATTTTCCAGATAAATTCGAATATTCTAGCGATAATCGAGAGAGAGAGAGAGAAAGAAAAAACAAAGAACTTTGAACTCGAGTCAGAGAGGTAACGGTCGAAATATAAAATTTTCATTTGCTTGAGTTCGAGCAACGACGTCTCGTTTCGAAAAAATCGATGGATCGATTGATCCATACACGTGGTTGGGATACGCGTGACTGTA